GGAGGCTCCCCCTGCCCAGCCTCCCATACACAGGGCCACTGGCCTGGCCCCACCACACACAGCCACCCTGATTCCCACCCTGCCTGCAGGGTGGGAAGGAAGGAGAGAGGACAACACCCGGGAAGGGACAAGTCCCATCCGAAAAATAGGGCTACTGGAAGGAGCAGAGCCACGGCTCCCCAGCACAGGCACACACAGCCTCCCGCGGCGGCCCGCAGGGGAGGAACCCCGGCACCAGCCCGGCTGCGGCTCTCCTGCTACACCCACGGGCTCCCTGGTGGCGGCCCCGGGCCAGACGCTGGACTCTGGTCTCCACCTCTTCAGGGGCGCTCCTTCACCAGGTGAGAATGCAGCTGAGGCGGAGACCTCGCTCAGAGCAGCAAGACTGGCGCCCAAGGCAGGAGGCCACTCCCTCTGGCCTTTCCCTTCCACCAGCACTGCCCAGCTCCTGGCACACAAGCCTCCTCTGGGACCCACTTGTGCGAGGGAAAGGAGACACCAAGCCCACCTCCCTTAGCGCAGGCGTGGCCGAGGCAAGAGCCCCCACGGCTGCTGGGAGTCCTGACCACTCCGGAAAACATGCTTGCTCCTGGGGAAGGCGAGTAAGAGGGCAGAGAATGTGTGCAAGAAACACCCCTCAGAATCACACCCAAGCACATTCCCAGGAAGCTTCTCCCCCAAGAGGACCAGTGTCGCTTCTCACAGCCCACACACACCCGTGTGAGGTTCATTGTGGCCGAAGCACCAGCAGCCCAGAGGGGACTGAGGCCAGCCCTTCCCTCCAGGCCCACCCTGTCCGCACCCTCTCTCTCCCACCACCAACAGGCCAGAGTCCCTGGGCCATGGGAGGGCCAGGGCTGCCACCAGGCGTGACTGAAGCAGGGGCAGATGCGGACTTCCCGGGGAAGCAGGCAAAGGGCCCAACACCTCCGGCGTGAACCTTCTACCTCCTGCTGCCCCTGGGCCTCTGGTCAGCGTCTCTGGGGTAGACAAGATGGAAAACAGAGGCCGGGTGCCGAGAACTGCCTAAGGCTACCCCAGCTCTGGAAATCTCAGCACCGTGTTCCCGTCCTGGCCAGAGGTAGTCCAGAAATGGCTCAACCAATGCCGGACATTCTGTTCACAACACCCGCCCGCTCTTCTCTCTGGGGGTCCCAGGCGACCAGGCCTGGAGGGATAACCAGGATGCCTGGCTCCCACCCCCAACAGGAAGCCGAGGCTCCAGGGCCAGACCAGGCCAACGACCCGCAACGGATTCCAACACCCGCTCTGTATGCGGAACAGAAGTGCTGCCAGCCATCCCTTCCTCCAAATGAGCCCCCAGGAAAGACCAGTCATCAACTGTGTCTCCAAATCTAGACAGAGCACGAAACACCGAGGTGTCTTCCCTCTGCCCACAGCCTAGTACCCTGAGAAGGACTGAGCCTAGACTCAGAGCTGGGGCAGGTGTGGCCTCCCCGACTCCACACCAGGAGACAAACGCTGGACACAGCAAGCGGGAAGTCACTGCGAAGAGAAGGCCAGGCTAGGAGGGAGGCCCGAACACAGAGACCCACATGTGCAAAGCCAGGCCCAAAGACAGACAGAGCATCTGCCCGGAGACATGGAGACGGAGGCAGCCACACAAACATGGAGATATTCCGGGACTGAGAAAACAAGGGGCAGAGTCAAGCTCTGCCACCACTGTGCCACCACTGACACCCGGCCCACTCCCAAGCCTCACCGGCTGCCGTGGCCTCCTGCCCCTCACCTCCCACCTCCTGAGCAGCTTCAGGCACGGAGGGCAGGTGCTGTGGTCCAAGCCAGGGCTGGTGGCCCTGGGGAAGGAGCCCCCAGCAGCAGCCACAGGGAACCAGCGGCTGGGGCTAACAGGAGCCTTCAACGGAAGGGCAGGGCAGGGCGCACCCACAATCCTCCCGGGAGCAGCCGCTCCCGGCCCCTCCCGCTGCCCGCCTTGCCCCGTCAGTGACCTAAAGCACCAGATCCAGAGACACACGCCCCAAACACAGGCCACGCCGAGTCACCCCTGGGGACACTGGCAGGCACACAGGCTCCTGCTGAGAGCAAGGGAAGCGGGCGGTAAAGATCTGGGGCTCCAGCGGCAGCACAAGAGGGGCCAGGCCAACGGTTCTCCGGCTCGTGGAGGCAGACATGGACGTGGGGCTGAACTCTGGGCTGGAGGCCCTGCCAGGTACCTCCAGGGGACCCCCACAATTAATCTTCCTATTTCCAGAATGCTCCCCGGAGCGCCACGCTTGCAATCCCATCCCTGACCCCTCCACTCCAAACCTGCAGACTGTGTGCCTCCTGTCGCCAAGCCTCTCTTTCTAGAACCTTCTGCTTTCTTCCCCAGAATAACACTCCCAACCACAGGCCCTGCAGTCTCAGTATGTCATTCCTGTTCCCGGACCCTGGGCCCAAAGGTGAGGGAGCCAGGCCTGGGAAGGCTCGGGGTGTCGGGGCCACAGTGGTGCAGGTCACACTCCACGCAGCCCCCCCAGGTCTCCTCCCTATGCCCCCAAGAGGCACAGGATAGCACCGAAGGCTGCAGACCCCTAAAACCTGCAGTGTGGGCGGAAGAGGCTTCCTGGGAAGCAGCCCCACCCCCTCCTTGCCTGGCCTGAGTCACAGGAGCTGAGAGTACGGGGAATTTCCTCCACTTCACGCCTCTTCCTGGTCCTCAATACTCCCCGCTGCCTCAAAGGCACCTCACACCTGCCCTGCCCCCACCAGTTCCTCAGACGCCCTGGGGATCAGCTAGCAGAAGGCAGGGTCCGCGGTGGGTGGGGCCTCAGGGCAGGCGCTAGAACTGCGGGGCTCGGGTGGAAGACAGGGGCTCTGCAGAGGCTGTGGCAGGAGGGTTAGGTACAGAGAGGGTCTCCCCAAGGGGAGATGGGAAGAGAGGCCCAGAGGCTGGAGGCAGGCCTGGGAGCGCGTAGTGGGCTGAGCAGGAAGGATGGAAAGCTGGCAAGAGGGCAGGCTGGGCTGCTTCAGCTACTGAAAGGCACCCAGGTGGAAGGCTGAGGCCCTGTGCCAGGAAGCAGCAGGGAGAGAAGCAGGGAGGAGCAGAGGAGGAAGCACAGGAGTCCAGAGCTCTGCACGACCCAGGCCAGGCCAGGCCACTCCCTACCCCTCCATAAAGGCAGCCTGGCCCAACCACAGAGCCAGGCTGGAGCCCAGTGGGAAAGGGTGGTGGAGAGAAGCTGCGCAGGGAAAGGCACTAGGGAGACGGAGGCAGGCCTGTCCTCCCCTCACACTGCAGGGTTCAGGCCCAACCACCAGCCTGTGTGTGGCCAAGGGAATCTTGGAGGCCAAAGAGATCTGTCCACAGGCCCCTCTGACCTGTGCCCTTCAAGCGATCCCAGGGCGGGCCCAGCCCTGCACTCCCTACCTTCCCTCGATGACGGTGATGACGTCATTCATCTGGATGTGCAGTTTGTCTGGCTCCTCAAAGTCCTGAAGGGCTCGCATGTCCGTGGGCTGGGCCTGGGGGAAGAGAAAGGTCACTGCCGGCTCTGGGACTGACGCCTGGGTAGCCCCTCCGCTTGGACACCCCAGCTCTCCTGGGCTGACCTGTCCCTCACCTCCAGCAGGAAGTCCCGCAGGGCCACAAATGTAGGTCTGTCCTCCGGCTTGTGAGCCCAGCACTGGACCATGACGTTGTAGATGTCCTGGGGACAGTCCTCAGGCCGGGGCAGCCGCTCCCCCTCCTTGTCGATCTTATGCAGGATCTGAAGGTGAGGAGGTGCAGAGTTTGGAGACAAACAGAGCACCCAGCCCTTCACTTCCCGCCTTCCCTCCGGCCTATCCACAGCTGCAGCAGCTGCTGCCGTGCCTGGCCTCCACAGAAGGGATCTGCCTGCCCGGGAGGGGCCCTCTCCAGAGCCCTAGACCCTTCTTCCCAGGTCTGGGGCCTCGGAGCGAGTGGATGTGGCAAGGGCTAGAAAAGGAGGGCAGGCCCCAGCTTTTCCCTCCCCGTCTCTTTGCTGGGCTCTCCCTGAGGCCATACAGATACGGGGCGTGGAGGAGGGAGTCCGTGGGTGAGAGGCAGTTCCAGCAGGGCCAGGCTGCAAGCTGGGAATGGAACTCACCCCACCAGCCCTATGGGGGCCCATCTCCCAGCCCCCACCTGACTGCCATTGAGGCCGATCCAGGGCTCCTGGCCATAGGTGAACATTTCCCACAGCGTCACCCCGAACATCCAGGTGTCGCTGGCATGGGAGAAGGTGCGTGTCTTCAGGCTCTCCGGGGCACACCTGGCAGAGGCAGGGGTCAAAGAGAAGCCTCTCAAACACCCTACTTGCGTCCGCCCCGGGGACTTAAAACACTCATTCAGCGAACACTTGTTGTGACCCCGTGCCACGTTCAGCAGTGGGTCTTGGGGGCGCTGCGTGAAGGGGCAGGACTCCTTGACTACACGGTGCACAGACTTGGGGAAAACCATCTGAGCCCAGGTCCCTTCCTCACTGCAGCCTGGCGTGGGAAGAGGAGGGGAAGTTTCCCAGCCAGAGAAGCAGGGAAATGAAGGAGGTCAGAGGCTCTAGGACGGGGCAGGCAGAGAAGATCACTGGCTGTTTTCGGACTGTGGTGGGAGGATGACAATTCCCAGATCTGGGGCGGGATCCTGGGATTTGGGTCCTTCGGCAGGAAGGAGTGGGTGGGAAATTCAGATAGGGCCTGGGGAAGAACCAAAATGGGTAGAAACAGTCGTACTGGCTTCACCCAAATACATTTGTTCTGGGCACCCCCCGGGTGAGGGGGAAGCGCCACTGTGGTGAGGTTAGACACGGACATCCCGGCGTGGGCTGAGGTGCAGAGAGGAGGGTGGCACCTAGACAGGGAACCAGAGCGAGCCCTGCCCCTCAAAGGGGATGGGGCCAGGGAACTCTCTCGAGATCTCTAAGGCTCATTATCCTCATCGGTGAAAAGAGAACAATAACCCGCCCCCTTCATCGTGTTGTTTAAAGGCAACTGTATTAATACATTACCACGCAAACCAGGATGCCTAAATACAAAAGAGGCTGCTATAAATTAGTGCAGGACGACAGGCATAATCTAAGACCTATGCTCACCCTAGGGGTAAAGCCAGCTGCTCCTTAAGATGACCATGCGTTCTGCATCATAAGGGTTGCCCACAGTCGCCGCTCGGGCAAGCAGAACTGGAATAACCCTTCCCACCTCAAAGCAGGCAGATCACAGTCCTTTGGGTGCTTCTCGAACCAGAGGACCACCATGGTCTCAGCAGAGGATAAGCCCACAGAGGGGCCAGGGCAAGTACCACCCCCAGGGCACAGGTGAGCAGCCCTGGCCCATCTACAGGGCCTGCTGTGGCCTGGGCCTGTCTACCTCTAGCTCTACCTACAACATGCTTACCAACGAGTCTGTCCCTGGCAAACTTCCCCTGACATTTCAGGAAGCCTTTGAACACCCTACCGAGCAATGCCCCTTGGGTGAGGCCACGGCATTCATCCCTGTTAACACCCCACCCAGCAATGCCCCCTGGTGAGGACACAGCATCTATCCCTGTAACACCCCACCCAGCAATGCCCCTTGGTGAGGCCACGGCATCTATCCCTGTAACATCCCACCCGGCAATGCCCCTTGGTGAGGCCACGGCATTTATCCCTGTAACACCCCACCCAGCAATGCCCCTTAGTGAGGCCTCGGCATCTATCCCTGTAACATCCCACCCAGCAATGCCCCTTGGTGAGGCCTCGGCATCTATCCCTGTAACACCCCACCCGGCAATGCCCCTTAGTGAGGCCTCGGCATCTATCCCTGTAACACCCTACCCAGCAATGCCCCTTGGTGAGGACACAGCATCTATCCCTGTAACACCCCACCCAGCAATGCCCCTTGGAGAGCCCCACAGCATCTATCCCTGTGCTTTCCAGCACTCAGATCCTGGCATGCGGGCCCTCAAGAATTCCTAGATGGATGGTGAGTGAATGGGTGCAAAGGAGGGCACCCCAGGCTTAGAACAGACAAGGACAGGCCCAAGCAAAACCAGGGGCTGTGGTGGGTCAAGAAAGCCCCAGAACTTTGAGGCCGGGGTCTGCAGGGACTCTGTGAGCTGGCAGCACCTGCCCCTCACCAGGCGAAGGGCACCTTGCGATGTTCCTGCATGACGTAATGGTCGTCATTCTGAGGTAGTGCTCGCATCAGCCCAAAGTCCCCGATCTTGACCAGGTCGCGAGTAGCCAACAGTAGATTGCGGGCAGCCAGGTCACGGTGAATAAAGCGCTTGGACTCCAGGTAGCCCATGCCCTCAGCCACCTGCACAGCGTAGCGACTCAGAGTCCCCAGGAGGAAGTGGCCCTGGTGCTTACGTAGCCGGTCCAACAACGATCCCAGAGGTGCCAGCTCTGTCACCTGAGGCCACGGAGGAGGCAGGAGGAATGAGCTGGAGGACCCTGCCCCTTCTCAGCAGCCCACACTGGGCCCCCGGCCCCCTTCCTGAAGGCTTTCCCGAACCAGGCTGCACACTCCTTCCTGGCCTGCTGTCTGGGGACCTCTAGGAGTCCTGCAGTTTCTCAGGCCTCTCCCTCGAGACAATGTAGGAAACTGACACCCAGAGAGAAGGAGCTCAAAGAGGCAATGGCTAGAAATTCCAAAACTTGGCCAGGCCTGGTGGCTCACGCCTGTAATCCCAGCACTTTGGGAGGCCGAGACAGGTGGATCACGAGGTCAGGAGATCGAGACCATCCTGGCTAACACAGTGAAACCCCGTCTCTACTAAAAAATACAAAAACTAGCTAGGCGTAGTAGCGCACAGCTGTACTCCCAGCTACTCGGGAGGCTGAGGCAGGAAAATCGCTTGAAACCAGGAGGCGGAGGCTGCAGTGAGCCGAGATCGTGCCAGTGCACTTCCAGCCTGGGCGACAAAGCGAGACTCTGTCTCAAAATAAATAAATAAATAAAACGTAAATTCCCCAAATTAAACTCAATAGCCAGCCCCTCCCATAGGAGTAACTCTCTGACACTGAGCACCAGCAAATCCAGAGGCAGACCCGGACCCTACTGCAGCAGACACAGCCCGGACCAGGCTGGGCCCTTGTGAACCCCTTTACTCCATCAGGTGGGGGGACCAAAGTAGGATCTAGGGCGCCTCTGACCTCAGGACGGAGAGAGTAACTGCACCACACATCTGGGACCACAGCCCTCTCCCTGCCACCCGCTCCTGCCCACAGCACTCACCATCTTCATGGGCGGCGTGAGCACCACCCCGTACAGGCGGATGAGGTTTCGGTGGTCGAGCGAGTGCATGGCGTTGACCTCCCGGATGAAGTCATCCATGGCTTCTGGCTGGCTCAGGACGTCGGGCTTCAGGCACTTCACAGCCACACTCACCTGTCCACAGCGGGATGTGCAAGGACTCAGGACCTGCCAGGTCCCGGACACACGGAGCCAACCTGCTCCACCCTCCAACTCGGCTCAACGATCCCCGCCTCCGAGCTGCTCATCTGGGTGGGTAAGCACGCCACCAGTGCCTGGGCTTACATGCTCTACAGGAGGCCTGGCCGCAGAAGGGCAGAGCGCTGGCCCTCAGGAGCCATTGTCGGCCATGCCTCCCCTTCCTGGGGGAATGCTGGGCTTAAATACCAACCAAAAAGTAAGAGATAACCAGCATGATGAGAGAATATTCAAATGTTATAAAATGGATTTTTTTTTGAGATGCAGGCTGGAGTGCAGTGACACGATCTCAGCTCACTGCAACCTCCACCTCCCGAGTTCAAGTGATTCTCCTGCCTCAGCCTCCTGAGTAGCTGGGATTACAGGCAGGCACCACCATGCCTGGCCAATTTTGTATTTTTAGTAGAGACAGGGTTTCTCCATGTTGCTCAGGCTGGTCATAAAAAGGAATATTAAAAGTTCTTTTGCTGTAGAAGGAAAATGCTTTAAATGTAATGCCAAAAACAAATATGTGGAGCTAGAAGTCGGCACAGCGGCTTCCCCGGGAGAAGGGCTGAGTGACAGCAGCTTCCCCGGGAGAAGGGTGCACTGAGTGACAGCAGCTTCCCCGGGAGAAGGGCGCAGGCGCACTGAGTGACAGCGGCTTCCCCGGGAGAAGGGCGCAGGCGCACTGAGTGGACAGCGGCTTCCCCGGGAGAAGGGCGCAGGCGCACTGAGTGGACGGCGGCTTCCCCGGGAGAAGGGCGCAGGTGCACTGAGTGGACAGGGCATGAGGAGCCCTCTGAGGTGCCGGGAATGCACCGGACGTGACCTGGGCAGTAAGAACATGGCTTCTGCACAGGAAACAGTCACACCAGAACTGTATGCTGTGGTGCACACATGTTATCCCTGAGGGGAAAATGTTAAATGCAATGCCAGGAAGAACAAGATTTTAAAAGCTGTATCCAGAATTTGTATCTTAACTAAATCCGACAAAATACCTAAAGTAGGAGGAAGAGGCAGAAATGCCAACTCTGCTTCCTCTTAGTGGTGGGATTATAGGCGATTTTTTTTTCTTGTTTTTCAAGTAGTTTCCAAACTTTTATAATAAATAAATTATTTTTATAGTTGAAATAATAAATGTGCTTAGCTAAACCTGAGCATGGGCTGGGCGTGGTGACTCACACCTGTAATCCTAGCACTTTGGGAGGCTAAGGTGGGCAGATCACCTGAGGTCAGAAGTTCAAGACCATCCTGGCCAACATGGTGAAACCCTATCTCTACTAAAAAGACAAAAACTGGCTGGGGCGTGGTGGCGCACACCTGTAATCCCAGCTACTCAGGAGGCTGAGGCAAGAGGATCGCTTGAACCCAAAAGGCAGAGGTTGCAGGGAGCCGAGATCGTGCCCATTACACTCCAGCCTGGGCAACAGAAAGAGACTCTGTCTCAAAAAAATAAATAAAAACCCAAAAATCCTGTTGTGACGCGTCCCCAGTCCCATTCACATCCCAGTTGGGGGCAGAAGAGCCACTCCCAGCCTTGGGTCCCACGCCTCTGCTGGCCGGCAGGACACAGAGCTCACCGTCTTCCCTGAGGGCGCGTCCCACTCGCCCCTGCGCACCACGCCAAAGGAGCCATCGCCCAGCTTCTCCAGGAGGCGCAGGTCCTTCTCCCCAATGAGGCAGGTGAGGCTCTGCAGGGGCCCCTCCCCTGCTGGGCCCCCAGGGGCAGGCGAGGTCTTCCGGAAGGTGCTCTGAGAGTGATGAGGGGGGAACTCAGCCTCCAGTCGCTTTCCACTGAACACCTGTTTGAGGGCAGCCGGGGGCCAGATGGAATCCAACACCCAGGGTCAGTCACTCAGTCCCACCCTGCTGGGTCCACCTGGTGATCCCCTGGCTCGGCTTCCAGATAAGTCCTGGCTTTGCCAAACTGCCAGTGGGGCAGCCTGGCTGGAGGGCTGCACTCCGTCCAGGCACACCCCAAATACAGAACTCAAAGCCTGACGCTGGCCTCAAGGTGGGTGCCAGAAAAAGACCAACAGGCATCAGCCTGTGGCTGCAGTGGCCCCACACCCAGCTGTGCGGACAGGGAGAGTCCAAAGCCCTCCCAGCACTGCCCACCCAAGGTCTGAGTCTCCTCCTAGTCCTGCCCCACCCTCCCTTCCTGCACCCGCCGCCCAGCAGACTCCAGCCCTAACTCATGTAGATGGTGCAGGAGCCACAGGGGCCTCCACAAACACCTCCTTGTCCATTTTTAGCCCTGGCCCCTTCTCTGGCCTGACCATTTGGTGCTGTCTGTCTCCACCCTCACTAGGGAGTCGGCTGCCCTTCATCCTGCCCAGGGGAGAGGATAATTTTAGTCTGAGGTTGAACCGTGAGTGTGTGTGTGGTTCAGATGAAGCTAGTCCTTACTGGGGAGGGGCCTGGGAAGACAGTTGGGTTTCTGGAGGGGCGACTAGAGCTGAGGGCTGAGATAGAAGGAAGAGTGGAGGAGACTCTGAGGCCAGACTGGACAGGGAGGGGGCCAAAGGTCAAGGGACAGAAGAAAGGAGGCCACGAGGGTCAAAGCTGGCCACATCGGTCTGACTTGGCAGCCTCCACCGAGGCACCCACAGCCTAGGCTCCAGGCTGCAGATTCTTGCCAGTTTGGGTCTCACATCCCCAAAGCTGGTAGAGTCTTATCCATTCAGGCTAGGGTGCCTCAAATCTGAGGGCCTCTTCTGGCCTCTGTTGCTTCCTCACAGTAACTAGAATTCCTTATGTTTGCAAGCAATGTTCAGGTTTACAAGACCCTTCACAGTCATTATCTCTGGTGCCTCCCACAGCCCTGGGATATGAGCTGGGCAGTGGGCCCGGCATCATTTCACTGAAGACACGACGAAAGACGACAATCGGGAGGCCACTGACTGCCCAGGGACCTATCAAGAGCCAGTGGCAGATCCAAGACCCCTAAATCTCAGCACCCCTAAATCTCGGCAAACCACGCTGCTCTCTTCTCCGGCCTCCACCAGCCCGACACTACTCATCCTTCCCTAAAACCTGGGCAAAGGACCAGGACAGTGTTCCCAGAAAAAGCCACAGGGTCCCAAGAGACAGCCCCTTTGCCGGATTGCAGCCAGGAAAATCTCTGCTGCCCAATCCCACTCCAGCTGTTCGGCCCTGCCCACCCCCCACCCCAGCCCTGAGGCCAGAAATGGAGAGGAAAGGCCACGGCTGGCTCACTTCCTCTCTCATTGTCTTCCAGACAATGGGCAGAGTTCCACTGAGTCAGACCAGGGACTCACTACACCACAGACCCAAATTAGGACAAGGTGTGGGGAGAGGTGGGGACAGGCTGTGGGGAAGGAAGCTGTCAGCAGGGACAGATGACCAGAGAAACACAGAGATTACAGAGGGTCGGGGAGGAGGGAAGCCAAGTGAAGATGTTCTGGGTCCAGACAGGTCCACCGCCCCACGCTGGACACTGGCCCCAACGCTCAGACACAGCAGGGCTAAGTTAAGGCACACACTTGTCAGTGAGCTCCTGTTCCAGGTGCTGAGAGGGGCTGTGAAGGCCTCACCACACACAGGCTGCCTGCGTGTCCATATCTGGCGGAGACAGACACTTAGCCCGGCAGCTCTACAAGTGCCCTGCCCGATAAGACCCTGGATGCAGGGGTTCTGTACAAAGTGCCGGCGGAATGGCGAGATTCGACCTGCTGGGGAGTTGGGGAAGGTTCCCAGGACTGGAAGCGGTAGGGGGCATTCGAGGCTGCCACCCTCCCACCTCCTCACCCACCTTACTCATCCACGACTTGCGTTTGCACAAGGCCTTCCTCCTCTTCACAGCCTCCCACAGCCGCCGCTGGCCTGCAGGGAGGGTGGGGAACCCAGCGCTGTGAAGGCAGCTCAAACCCGAGAGAGGCTGCTGCCTATGGTGCCCTCGCGGGTGAGTCTGCCACTGGACACCACTCAGCACAACGATACCAATGAAATCAACCCCAACTAACCAGGAGCTTCAACTGACCAGACGGTCTCTGCACTCCACTTCCCGGCACTGGCTCTCAAACTGGGTGAAGGTGTTTAACCAAAAACTTGAAGTGGTGGGCTTCTCCCAGTTCTCAGGAAAAAATCAAGGTAATGAACAGAATTTTCTCAATGTTGAGGTTTTTTTCCCTCCATAAAATTTTGTTATGCTACTGGCATCAGACACCAACTATCCAGGCCAAAAGTAGCATAAGTCAATGTCCAACTCAGCACATGACTACCTATTAAGCTATTTTAACTTCAATGCCCTAATACGTTTCTAACGTTCTATGAAGAACATCACGACTTTTAAATGCCACAAGCCCCACTTTTAGGAAAAATACGAAGATAAAGGTTGAGCTCAAATCAGAGCAAACCTGTTTGTGCGCATGTGTGCGTCTGTGCATGTGCATGTGTGTGCGTGCATGTGTATGTGCGTGTGTGCATCCTTGTGTATGTGCATGTGTGCGAGTGTGCATGCATATATGTGCGTGTGCACGCATGTGCGTGCATGCATCTACGTGTCCGTGTGCGCGAGTGCGCATGTGTGCATGTGTGTGCGTGCATCTGCATGTGTGCGTCTGCGCGTGTGTGCATGCTTGTGTGTGTGTGCATGTGTGCATGTGCGTACGTGTGCATGTGCGTACGTGTGCATGTGTGCGTGCACATGCGTGCATGTAAGTGCGTGCGCATGTGTGTGCGCGTGTATGTGCACGTGCGTGTATGCATGTGCGTGTGAGACAGTGAGAAAGAGCACGCTAGTGGGAATCAGCAAACCATCTGAGAGTTAGCGTTCTCCCTACAGATCTCTGGACGTGGACTCCCCCCGCCAGCCCGTATTCAGAATGATGGGAACAGACTCAATTTGATGCTTATGAAGGAGAGGTGATCAAGGACATACTCTCTATGTAAGAACAAACAGAACGGGGCATGGAGTGACCCCTGTGTAGCCGGCTTTCGGGAAGGCCTCACTCTCCTCAAACTCCAATTCACCTTTACAACTGCCAACTGTTCTCATCACACATCAGCACCTACTGATGTCCCTCCTGCGCCGCCTCAGGGCCCTGGGACAGACACAGTCCTCAGCCTGCGCCACCTCAGGGCTCTGGGATAGACAGAGTTCTCAGCCTGCGCCGCCTCAGGCTCTGGGACACAGTTCTCAGCCTGCGCCACCTCAGGGCCCTGGGACAGACACAGTCCTCAGCCTGCGCCACCTCAGG